TCTGACTGGCCTGGAACTCATTATGTAGACCAGGCTGTCCTTGAATTTACAGAGAGCCACCTACCTCTGCCTCCTGAGTGCTGGGATTAAAGGTGTGTGCCACCAAACCCAGTATCCTTTTATTTTTTAATGTACTTTAAAACATTTTTTATTGCCCATTTCCACGGTTCTGTGCTGGGGTTCTGTCTGCTTGAGTTTGCATAGGTCTTGTGCATGCTGATACCAATGCTGTAGGTTCATATGAGTAAGGTCCCAGGAGCCTGTAGGACTCTATTTCCATATGGTCATGCATCTCCTCCCTGGCTCTTACAATCTTTCTGCCCTCTCTTCTACAGTGGTCCCTGAGTCCTGGATGGGCAGAGTTTAATATACAAATACATACTCTACAGACTCTTACTCTCCACGCTTTGGCCATTTGTGACCTTTGTGTTCCTGATCCTCTGTTGCATGAGGGAGCGTCATTAATGAGAACTGGGAGATGCGTTAGTGTTCTATGTTCTGTGAGCCTTAGGTGTAGAGGTTGCATTGTAGATGTGTCACTTAGGCTTGGGCAATTCAAACAGTGTCAGTGTGTGACCAGATGTGGAACTCTGTAGTAGTCTCTGTCTGTTGCAAAAGAAGCTTCTTTGATGAGTGCTGACTGGGATACTTGTCTGTAAATATAAGGATCCATGTTTTGCACATAGTAAGAAATTACATTTGTCTAGGAATGTGACAGCCTTGGAGTTTTCTAAGACCACTCCAGCCATGTATATTTGGCCGTGTTTATAGTACCACACACGAGTTTCCTCTCATTGAGAGGGCTTTAAATCCTGCTTGGAAAATTATTGGCAGCTGATTACTGATTACAGCTGATTGCTGCTGATCTTTCTAAAGGGAGGGACTCTAGATAGGCTGGCTAGACCCCAGTTGGATGAACTTACACTGAGGGACGTCTGGGGACACTAACTTGACATGATAGGCCTTAACACAAATGACAGAGTGTATGAATTCCAGTGGGGTGGGGGGCTATGGGAGGGTGCCAGTGGAGAAGGAGGTGTAAAGATGATTAAGATGTTCTGTATGAAATATACAAACATTCAATAAAAAAGTACAAAAAATTGACTGAATAACACTTTTTTTTTTTTTTTTTTTACATTTTATTTTACGTGTATGAGTGTTTTGCTGGCATGTAAATGCACCAGTACCTGTAGAAGTCAGAAGTGGTCATTGGATCCCCTGGAACTAGAATTAAGAATAGTTGTTAGTCACTATTTGGGTGCTGGGAACTGAACCCCAGTCGTCTCTAAGAACAGCCAGTGCTCTTAACCATGGAACCATCACTCCAACCACTTTTGATGTCCTTTGATGAAAGTTGTGCTCATCGGTGTGCTTTCCCAGGCACTTTATGTGCATTCCTTTTGCCGGGCTCTGCCCTCTGCTTTTTGAACTCCATCAGCACTTACCTGCCTGTGAGATCTTCTGAGTGTTCTTTCATTCTCTGTGCAGATGGTGTGGGTCAGATTTCTATTGCCAGGCCAAGTACCTGAGAAAAAGTTACTTAAAGGAGGAAATGTTTATGTTGCAGCCCATGGTCAGTCATTTGGCCCATTGCTTTTAGGCCTCTGGCTGGAAGCATTTGGAGGATCAGGAAGGAGGTAAAAGGCCAACCTGCGAGACAGAGTTTGAGACCAGCTTGAGCTATAGCAGACCCTACCTCAAAAATAAAACAACGTAACAAAAAACAAATAAACAAAAAAGAATAAATTACTCAGTTTTGGGTATTTCACCATAGCAACAAAAAATGGACTAAGATAAAAACAGAGAACAAGTAACTTACTTAACTGGGTTAGAAAAGTTGAATGGTTTAGTCACTCGTGTCATCCTTGGGAGAGAATTCCCAGTGTAGGGGAGGAAAGGCTTAGCCCATGGTGACCAGGAAGCCAAGAGGAAGTGCCCAAGGCCCCAGAGTGCTTAAAATTAGTTCTCGGAGACAGATACTCATTTAGTACACAGACACATGCAGTGTTATGTCACACCTTGTGTTGGGGGTAATTAGGAAAACACGTCTGAAATGACTGTGAGGGGAGTGATAATGAAAAAATCAAAAAGCAGTGTTCTCAGGCATGCCTTATGTTTGGCTCTGCATGAATGTGCAGATATTTTACCAAATAGCTTTATATTATGAGTGGCTTTAATTGAAATGGCCTTTTAGCAGGGCCTTAATAAATAATTATATTTCCTATGTGGTATGGATGGGTAGGAGGTAAAGAAACTTAAAGAGACTAGAAAGCGGGAGTGGTTCATATTATTAGTGGTAGCCTTCCAGAAGAGATTGGTGACACTGGGGTAGGCTAGAGCCCCAAGGTAGGAGAGATAGAAACTGGCCCAGAAAGATACCTACAGGTTGCAGGGATTTGGATTTGATGTTATCTTATTCAACTGAGCCTTTGCTCAATGTGATTAAATTAAGAATGTTGAGTTTGGAGGCTGAAGTGATGGCTCAGTGTTGAAGAGCAGTCGCTGCTCTCCAAAGGTCTCAGGTTCAATTCCCAGTATCCATATGGCAGCTTGTAACTGTAACTCCAGTTCCAGGGGATCTGACTCCCTTCTGACTTCCTTGGGCACCAGGCACACACCTGGTGCACATATATACACGTAGACAAACACTCATACACATAAAATAAGTCTTTAAAAAGAATGTTGAGAAGGGGTAATTAACCTGGATTATTCAGGTGGGCCCTTAATATCTGAATGTGCAGACATTTTACCAAATAGCTTTATATTATGAGTGGCTTTAATTGAAATGGCCTTTTAGCAGGGCCTTAATAAGTAATTATATCTCCGGTGTGGTGTGGATGGGTAGGCGGTAAAGAAACTTAGAGAGACTAGAAAGCTGGAGTGGTTCATATTATTAGTGGTAGCCTTAATGTAATACTGAATGTTCTTATAAGAGAGGCAGAGGGAGATCAGAGACCCCAGGGGAGAAGGCAGTGTAGAAACACAGCAGAGAGAAATTTGAAGATGCCGGCCCTGAAGATTGAATGACATGGCCAAAAGCCAAGTAATTCCAGCAGCCACCAAAGCTAAAGGAGGCAAGAAGTTAATTCCTGCCTAGAGCCTCTAGAGGGGGTGATGCCTGTCAGCACTTTGCTTTCAGACTGTTAATGCTGACTTTGGATGTTCAATCACAAGAACTATGAGAGAATAGGTTTCTTTTCTCTGAAGCCACTTACTTGGTTTTATTTTTATTATTAAAAAAATAGGTCTTAGCCAGGCGTGGTGGCACAAGCCTTTAATCCCAGCACTTGGGAGGCAGAGGCAGGCGGATTGGTGTGAGTTCGAGGCCAGCCTGGTCTACACAGTGAGTCCAGGGCAGCTGAGGCTACAGGGAGACCCTGTCTCAAAAAGACCCCCCCCCCAAAAGAAAGGTCTTATATTAAGATGGTTAGGTTTGATCATCAACGTGACAGTATCGGGAATCACTTAGGAGACTAGTCTCCAGGCACATCTATAAGGAATTATTTTGGTTAGGTTAGCCTCTGGGTATGCCTGTGAGGGAGTATGTTGGTTAGGTTAATTGCGGTGGGAAGACCCTGATAATGCACAGCGCCATTCCCTGGGCTTAGGTCCTGGTGTACAGAAAGAGGCGAAAATTAGCTAAGCATGAGCATTCATCTCTCTGTTTCCTGACTGTGGATCCAGTGTTACGAGCTGTCTCAAGCTCCTGCTGTCATGCCTTTCCTGACATGATAGACTGTGCCCTGGAACTGTGAGCCAAAATAAACCATTTCTCTCTTAAGTTGCTTCTGTTGGGGTATTTTGTTGCAGCAATGAGACAAGTAACTAAGGCAGGTCTCATGTAACCCATGTTGGCCTCAGACTCTCTGTGTACCTGAGGATCACATTGGACTTTTTAAATTTTTTTTTTTTGTCTTTGTCTTTTGGAGACATGGTCTCCCTGAAGCCCCAGCTGGCCTGGAACTCACAATGTAGACCAGGCTGGCCTCAAACTCACAGAGATCCACTTGCCTCCCAAGTGCTATGATTAAAGTCCAGCTTGAAGCCATGTATTAGAGATACTTTTCTGTTGCTCTGATAAAACACCATGACCAAGGCGACTTATAGAAGGAAGAGTTTATTTGGGCTTGTGATTCCAGAGGGATAAGAATTCACTGTGGCAGGGATGCATGGCAGCAAGCAGCAGGCATGGCGACCAGAGCCAAAAGCTCAGACAAACGCCAGAGAGAGCAAACTGGAAGTGGGACTGTGAACTCTCAAAGCCTGTCCATGGTGGCGCACTTCCTCCAGCAAGGCTGTCTGTACCTTTTAAAGGTTCAGTGGCCTCCCCAACAGTGCCACCAACTGAAGACCACGTGTTAAAATGTTTGAACCTAATGGAGAACATTTCTCATTCAAAGCATTACAAGTTACCAGTTTGCAATAGCTTGCTACACAGGAAAGGAATACACAGGAGAATGTGAAGGAGTACCCAGGAGAACCCCTAGATGCAAAATGAAGGAAGCTCATTGTGCATCGCAGTGTAAAATTTAAAACCGGCTTTGTCTGAGAGCTGGCCTATACTAACATGAAAACTGACTCACTGGGAAATATGGACAGGAATGAATTAGTAGGTGGATGTGGAGAGATTTGGTGTGGCACGTCCTCCCAAGTGACATGTACAGAGGCTTCTTGTCACTGAGGTCCCAGAAGAACGTAGGAGAAGAGCACCATCAACCCCAGGGAAGTTCTGGGGCTGGGAGTGTGTATGAGCTTTCGCTATGATTTATCCTTCAGTTTTGCTTTCAGCATTCTCCCCACCCCACCAACTCTGGGAGACTGGAGGATTGAGAACATTAAGTAATGATAAAGGCAGTGTTGAAGGTCAAGGCTTCACAAGGCTCAGGAAGAGTTGATAGGGGCATTGGGGGAGGTGATGGGCTCTGAGGTCTGGAAGCAGCTGTGTGACAGCAGGTAATGTTGACAGGATGTCATCTGCTTCCTTTCTTGTTTCTTTGCAGCTGCCCCCAGAAGCCAATAAGGAGAACCTCCCATCCACTACAGCTCCACTTTCTCTAAGCCAGAGCTTTGTGCAGAGCCACTTTCAAGCACAGTACAGGTAAGAGGGGGATACATGCTTAGGATGTAGCTACTTGCCTCTCATCGCCAGTCCGTCTAAGAACAACAAACCCCACAAGCATCCTTTCCTCCCCCACCGCAAAGCCCAAGGAGTCACTCACTCCTGTTGTTTCTGACCTTGAGGATTTCTTCTTCTTCATGACTTCCTGTCCCTTGAAGGATTGAAGGAGGAGTGACTAGAGGGCAGCCCTGTAGGTCTGGAATATGGAGGCCAGGATCTCTCCAGCCCGAAGGCACACAGATGCTGGGGAGATTCTTCCTGTTTGCTTGGTGTGGCCAGAGAGCCCAGCTGAGCAAGTCATTGTGAGTTGAAAACAACATGGAGGATAGAAAAACCATCCCGTAGCCTTTGACTTCAGGAAGCATGTACTTTCTTTAGGCATTTCTGTATGAAAGTACAGAGACATAAGGCAGAATGCTTCTAAGAATTATCAATGTTTAGTAAAAAGTCCTTACAGCAATGAGATGTCAAAGAGGAGGTTTGCAGCCCTAGGCTGCCTGGACCAGCTGTGTCTTTTGCTGGGCTTTGCCAGCTGAATAAGATCCACTTGGTAGGAATGTCCTCAACAAGGATGGATACGAGCTTAAAGGTGGAATGAGAAGAGGATGGGATTTCAGGGAACCATTGGCTACAGAAAAGTGTTCTTAGGTGAGATGCTCATGTGTGTGTTTCAGATATCAACATTAAAACATTATTGTTTTAGCTGCAACAAAACCAAAATTGAGCATATTAATGGTGTGATATTTTGATATATGTATACAAAGTTTAATATTTAAGTGATATTTAACATTTCTGTCTCCTCAAGCAGTCACTTTACTTGATGGTAAAAACTCAAAATCCTTTCTTGTAGCTAGCATTTATTTATTTATTATTTATTTTTTGAGACAGGGTCTCCCTGTAGCCCCAGCTGGCCTGGATCTTACTATGTAGACCAGACTAGCCTCAAACTCCCAGAGATTCACCTGCCTCTGCCTCCCGAGTGCTGGAATTATAGTTTCTTGTAGATTTTTAAATGCATAATATGTTATTCTTATTTGTAGTCACACCATTATACAGGTGAACGCAGAACTTCTGAGTTAGTGCCCACTGATCAGCATTTCCCCACCTGCCATCCCTTCCCCCTGGCCTCTCGTAATTGTCATTCTACCCTCAACTTCATTAGATTCCATATTTACTTATTTATATATTATTAAAACATGCATTTTATAGCATTATATAAAACATTTATGTTTATATACTTAAATGAAATATATGGCATAATATATAGGATAATATATAAATATCTGTCATATAATTAGTTAAATAATATATAGGCTATGGGTTACATTTATATAATTTATCATTACTCTGTTTTGAGATGTTGGAGATTGAACCTAGGGTCTCATGCATGTTAGGCAAGTGTTCTATTCTAAGTGACATCCTTCACTCCATTTATATAATATAAATATGCTTAAACTTATATATGCTTAAATATATTTAATTAATACTGTTTGTATATGTGTGTATGTATGTATGTCTGTGTGTATGTGGGTACATGTGTATGTCTGTGCATGTGTGCAGATGCTAACTTTGGTGTTGTTCCTCTGGAGCTATCTATCTTGTTTTTATTTGTTTGAGACAGGGTCCCTCATTGGCCGGGGGCTCGCCAATAAGGCTAGGCTGGTTGGCCAAAGAGCCCCAGGGATTCACCTGTCTCCACCTTCCAGCACTGGGATTATAAATGCATGCCTCCGGGCCTGGCTTTTTTGTGTGGTCCTGGGATCAAACTTGGGTCCTCATGCATGCACAGCAAACACTTTACTTACTGAGCTGTGTCTCCAGCCCCTGTTAATTTGTATTCTTACAAGAGTCTTGGCAGCAAGTGCTATAGCCTGGGCTGGGGCTTCTTGCAGGGACCATGGTTAGTGGCAGAGGCAGCTCTGTCTTCCTTGGTCTCTGAATTTGAGCCTGCCTCTACTTTCTTTGTAATTCTTCCTCTTCTGCTGCCTTTCCATCTCATGTTTTGGCTCTTGATTGTCTGTGCTTTTTAGTTGCACAGAGTCAGGCTTCCTTCTGGGTGTAGCATTAAGTCCTTTAGGAGCAGTGCTGTCTCTATTTGTTGGACGACGGCCACTTGCCTTTGTTCTGCTGTGTCTTCAAGATTTCCTGGTGGCTTTCTTTTCTTAATTACTTCTCTTCAAACAAGGTGACATTCAGTCTTCTAGAATTCCCCAACTTCCAGCCATGTACTTCCATACTTCCTGAGAACTTTTATTCTTTATGTTTAATCAGGAAGAGGCCACTTAAAACTGCCCCCGATTTAGGATTTATAGTATATTTGACAGTCATTAACAAAATGAATAGGATAGGATGGCTGTCTTTGAGAGTGACCAAGTGTTCAGGAGGTTCAGGAAGCGAGCATCTGAGATGCTTTGGAAGTTTGATACCTTCTACTGGAGCAGGAAACCCATTGCACAGGGGAAGGTCCCTCACTCTCTGGGTCGTGAGCGGGGACCTGCATGGAAGACTTTCGGTATAAGGGTGGACTTCAGTGGCAAGTGCACAGGAAGCTGCTGCGGAGGTTAAAGTGGGTGTAGACCAGTTCAGTTCATCAATCTCAGAGAGGACTCTGGTTATTATAGGCATTAGAAGGAGGCAGGAAAGGAAGCAGGAGTTGTTCTACTAGGGGGCAATGGGGGCCAGAACTGTGGAAATGGAGGGGCATGGCAGGTTTGGAATGGCTTTTAGATGTAGAGTCATCAGGACTTGCTAGAGGGTTTAAGGGTGGGAGGTGGAGGGACTGAGGGAGTTGATCATTAAGAATGACTTCGGTTTTTATGTAAGCGTTATTGATGAGTGCTTTGGAGGGAGGGTTGAGGGTACTTGAAGTATGTACTACAGGTCCCTGACTTTGTAGAGTTGGGGGCGGGGCTTCTGAGGAAGTGACATTTGAACCCAGCAAATGTTAAGGTTTAACAGTAGATTTATCTCCTGTAGGAACCTAAGAGGCAAAGGCGTTTGCTGAAAATGGGCTGCTAACAGCTAAAAATACCCACTCTGAGCTAGAGAGCCTACAGACCAGAGAAAGTGTCGTTAGGGAGCCCAAGGAAGGGAGGGCTTTTGAGGTTTGAGTGGTGATTTTCTGCAGTGATAGGGGTGGGGACAGCTCCAAGCTGACCCTGTTGAATGATGAGAACTGTTGCTTCTTGTCATTTCCATGAAGGAGGGTCCAACTGGGATGCTGTCAGCCTTCTTTATGAACTGGGGGTGGTGTATAATTGTGGGTTGATTCTCGGGCCCCTGCACACTGAGGCTGTCCCTTTCCTTTCTCCTCTCAAACTCTATTTTCTTTTGAGGTACTGAGCTCAAACCCAGGGCCTCCCTGGCTTTTATTGGGCCTACTGGACACATTTGTTTTGTCTTCATTTCTTAACTTCTGAGAACCAGGTGCACTTCCCATCCTTCTGTCATTAACTTGAAACAGTACTTTTTATTTCATTTTTTAATTTTTAATAACTGCATGATTAGAAGCGAATCCAGCCATGGTCGAGCAGGACCTTTGACTTATCTTCACGTAGGCAGAACTGGTAAATCTGGTTTTTATCA